ACACTTTACCTCACCATACGCGACCTGCCGATCGAGCAGACCGTGGTGGTGGTGGTGGTGGTTGTGGTGGCGGTGAATCCATTCACACTGCTGCCGTGTGCACAGAGGCGCCCGGGGTGGATTTGAGAAACTCGACCTCATTGTTTCAATTGCCGCGCCGGGGAATAGAATTTAACCGGCGACCTCTGGACCGCAAGTCCAGCAGTGCGCTGCTGACCACTACACCGCTGTGGTAGCATCCGTTTAGACAAACAAATGCGGTTTTTTTTGTTTTTACAAATATTTAATTCAAAGTAATTTCCTGTAAATGTCGGATTTTATTCTTTAAAAACAGCAACAATGAAAACCTCCGAGCGCAGGAAATCCTCGGGGAAGCCTCCAGGCTGTCTGGCCAATCCCACGCATGGCAATTCCCACAGTGTGACAACACCCCCTTGGGCAGCTATGTCACGGAGTCTTCCACACGCACTCACGCACCCCCACCAAATAAAACCGAGAATGTCGAGTCACTGGCGCCCACCTCCTCTTCGCAGCCCTGCTCAGCTGGTAATGGAAATTCCACATTCCTATTCCAGGGGGGGTAGGACAACCGCTGACTTAAAACATTCGTGACTGCAGGAATTCATATTCTTGGTTCTTTCCGTAAAGTCACGTAGATAGAAAATAAAAGTTTAATAAAATAAAATTTTGATTAAATTAAATTTTATATTAAATTAAAATGAATTTTATTTCATTTTTATTTTCCATCTACGTGACTTTACCGAAATAACCAAGAATAGGACAACGGCTGTTGGCCACAACAAAGTGGTCCTTGTTGTATCCACCCCAGTGGGATGATGGGGCCGAGTCGATCCCCAAACCGGCATTGAACCTTCCCGATTGCGATCCACATCATCATCATCACCATCGTCGTCGTCATGACCAACATTCACGATGATCGAGCTCGGTTCGGCGGGTTCACAGCGCAGTGCGTTCATCACTTCGCCAGCTCCTCCTCCTCCTCTCATTTCAAGATAAGGCTCCAAAGCTTGATGCGGATTCTCTGCAGAGTTTGTGTGTGTGTGTGGTTTTTTTTTGGCCGCGCACTGGATGGAAGAATTGTCGGGGGCAGCCGCCTCCAAACCTCACACCCACCGGAGCCCCCACTCACTCCCAGTGCGGAGTGATGACTGGCTGAGACCGGCACAGACAAAACCCAACAACAGCGGAGAGAGAGAGGGGGGGGGTAGAGGAGGCACCACCAGAGAACAACACAAAACTACAAAAAAACTCCCCCAAAAGCCCCTTTGTATAAAAATAGGTTTAACCCTTTCTGGCAATAAAACAGTTGTGTTAATATGTTGAAACACCCAACTGAAACCTTGTTTTTGCAAGGTAATGTCTGCATTCACCACAGATACTTGTGGTGAACTTGCAAACACAACAAAAACATGCTCTGGTAGTATATGATGATGCATTGTCTTTGAAACTGATTGGTCCACACCAGAGACAGCTTTCTTGAGAGCCTAGTCTCACTAACAGTGTTAGACCAGAGGACAACGCCAAAAGGCGAACAGCACAAAGACAATGCCACTATCAGGAGGTGAGCAGCTGACATCATTGGACCTCCATAGCCAGTATCAAAATATAAGAAAAGGTTTAACCCCTTCTGGTAAAAAAAATAAAGTTGTGTTAAGATGTTAAAACACCAAACTGAAACCTTTACACAAGGAGTCGTGTCTGCATTAACCACAGATACTTGTGGTGAACTTGCAAGTAGCCGCTTTGTGTTGGCAGGGCGCCTCCCTGCCCAGAGGCCCGCGTGTGCGGTGGTTTCAGGGACAAAAACAGAGATTGGGAACGGAGCGGAGCGTCCGCTTATGGATCATTTTAATTATTAAAAAATCATAACGAAACCTCGTGATCAGTGTGCGTTGTGCACTGCATCGTTTGTTTGTTTTTTTACACGCTTTTATTTAACTCGCTCTGTCTGTCTGTTGTTGTATCCTCAAATCTTGTAACTCAATTTGTACCCACTTTCCAAGGTGGTATCGACTGCAAACTTGGTATACTTATGTCATACTGATGACAATACTGTATTCTATCATTAACAAACATTTCTTTAAACATTATTTTGTGTATGTTATGTTTCGGCTTGGGTATAATTGTCCACGCTCAACTCACGTTGGCTGTAATTGGCCACGGCCCCTTACTTTGTGGCAAGCTTCGGGGCCACTTCCTGGAGTCGTGGAGTTCTTCCATTACTAGTACATTTAATTAAAGCGTGTTTTTAAAATATTACTTATTGCGTGTCGTCGAATTTGGACCCATATCTTCACGGGAGTAATATTTGGCAGTTCGCCAACAATTACTGTCAGCGAGCCTGACTGCTGATGACATATTCAACGTTGAAACCGGTTTAGAGTTTTTGGTTGTGTTGAACGAACGCTGACGTCTACACGTGCCATCGTTCACACGTGCCACCAGCCACACGGTCACACGTGCCCAGGCCACACAGTTACACGCGCCACCAGCCACACGGTCACACGTGCCCAGGCCACACAGTTACACGTGCCATCGTTCACACGTGCCATCAGCCACACGTCTACACGTGCCATCAGCCACACGTCTACACGTGCCATCAGCCACACGGTTACACGTGCCACCAGCCACACGGTCACACGTGCCACCAGCCACACGGTCACACGTGCCCAGGCCACACGGTTACACGTGCCATCAGCCATACGTCTACACGTGCCATCAGCCATACGTCTACACGTGCCATCAGCCACACGGTTACACGTGCCATCGTTCACACGTCTACACGTGCCATCGTTCACACGTCTACACGTGCCATCATGTGCCATCAGCCACACGGTTACACGTGCCACCGGCCACACGGTTGACCACACCACCCCCTTGTGTGCCGGCCTTAAGAGGTGCTCGCTGACATCACTTGCCCAAATAGCATGAGCACTTTAGTTTCAATTCGTGTTTTTTAAAGGATACATGGGGCGGATTTTGGTCTCTGTTTTGTATTCTAAGGGAACGAGAGGAGTGGTGGGTGGAGGTGGTGAAGATGTTGATGGTGGAGATGATGGTGGTGGTAATGGGTGTTATGATGGTGGTGACGGTGTTGATGGTGGTGGCAATGGGTGTTATGATGGTGGTGACGACGATGATGGTGGTGGTAATGGGTGTTATGATGGTGTTGACGGTGGTGGTGATGATGGGTGTTGATGGTGATGTTGACAGTGGGGGTGACGGTGGTGGCGATGTTGACAGTGGGGGTGACGGCGTTGATGGTCATGGTGTTGATGGTGGTGGTGACGGTGGTGATGATGGTGACGGTGACAGTGTTGATGGTGGTAATTGTGGTGGTGATGGTGTTTGCGATAACGATGGAGATTGGTGTAGTGACGAGACGTGCAGGCCCTTTGACCATACTGGGTGGAGGAGGAAAGAGGATGCAGCACCGGTCTCCTATACCCCCCGCCACTGATGTTAGCCGTGGCACGGGAATCGTGACTGGGTCACCGGCGGAGTTTTAAGTGGAATTCGGCTTGCCGAACAAATGCTGCCGGTTGTATTGGTAATTAAATCGCTTTCGTGCCGAGGTGCTATCAGCACAAAGACAAAGATCCCCCGTATAGCCTTAACAGCAAGTGGTGATGTTTACACACCGCACCGGGTACTCGTTTGAGGCTGAGTCGACCTAGGGGAGGCCCAGGACCGGTTCAGATAATCGTCACTGGTGTTGGCCGTGAGCGGGAATCGAACTTGGTTCGCCGGGTTCATAGCGCAGCGCGCTAACCGCTACACTACCGCTCCCCACACACAAACACAACCAACACGCACTCACACAAACACACAACCAACACGCACTCACACACACACAACCAACACGGCCCACACGCTCAGTTACACCACCAGCAGCGCAGGAGGGTTCTGGCTAATCGATAAAAAATAAAATTTGCATTTTAAAAAATGTGTCCCTCCATCGGCCTAGACTTACGTCAACGATCGGCATTGGTTTAGTTCGAAAAACTGGACCGGTTTTAACACCGTGGGGCCGCATCAGCCGAGTCTGTACGGACGTGGAACTTCTTTCGCACCGTGCGTAGCCCACCGTGCTAATCCGAAGTGCAGGCATGCATGCAACACACTGCCGGGTCACTGGATGTTATTGGCACGAGCACTCTCTCTGGCTAACATGCACCTTAAAGGTCAGGAAGCAACATGCAAGCGTATTTCTTTTTTTGACAATAACCAACTGACAGCGAATTAAATAAAAGTTGTCACGTGGGCAAATATGGCAATTGCTTAGCTTTTGGAACCAACCAGATTCTTGAAAAGCCACACCTCTGACAATTTTGCTCCGACGTTTCGCTCGAGATTACAACAAACATCACCGGGAGTTAACAAAAGCTGTTCTCGCGAGACTGCAAGCACAATTTTACGTTGGGATTGTATGGGACACTGCTGTGGAGAAATGTTAACTCCCTCGCCTGGTGTGCAGGTGGGTACAATCCCGACCCCGACGCCTGTATATTTGGAGTTTGCCGCGTTCTCCCCGTAGACACGTCGATTTTTCTCCAGGTCCTTCGTTTTCCCCTCCACATTTTAGAAACAGGAATATTTGGCTGCTGCAAATGTCCACATGAGCCACTTTGTTGAGACATCACGTGGCCAGGTCGCTTCTGAAAGCGAGCTATATAGCTCAGGGGGCCTTGCCTCGTAAAACAAAGTTTAGTTTAAATAGTTAAAGTTTAAAACTACGTTAATAAATAGCTCGTGCACAGGTGTTGGGTGGATTTTGACATCGCAGGGAGGTAGCAGTGGATTGGGGAAGCTTTCATCCAGCAGTGGATTGACCACGGCCGACGACGGTGATCTGGGCTCCGTAAGTTACCGCATCCGTTGACGCGTGATGCGAGGGTATTCATCGCGCTCCTCCACGCGGCTGAACGCACCGCGAGGCAGTGAAGGAACCCGAACCAGCAGCAGCAGCACGCGCAAGGTTTTAAGTGTCACAATTTTATTACAGTATAAAGCGCAAAGTGTTCTCATGTTTTTCTTTTTAAAATAGAAATCTCATCAAAAGTCAAACTTAATTCATCTATACAACACTTACTCTCGCTTGTACGTTACGCTTAAGAGCTTGTGACCGAATACAAATTCAACAGGAACTTTTTCGCTCTGCTAAAACCTACCCCCCCGCCGCGTTAGGCAGTCTTCGTGTTGTTACAATTTTTTTAAGGCTCGAGAGCTTCTCTTGTTTGCCGAGTGCCAACGCTCAAATTCTGCCAATCGTTCCTCCTGGCTAAAAGGTGCATCCCTGCAATGTCTTCGCTCGCCGAAACAGACGCCTTGGAAGAGGTGGGAGAGCCCACACTTTACCCCACCTGCCGATGGACCGCCGCCAACCGATGTATACCGCCGGGCGGACAGCGGCGGTGGGGGAAAAGGCGATTTGAGAAACTTTGCCCACATTGCTTCGACTGCCACGCCAGGAGATGAAACCGGGAGGCCGCCCCCCCCCCCCCAGCCACCCACCCCCCGCCGGAAGACGGAACCGTCTCACCGTGAACGGCAGCGTCTCCTTTTCATGTCACTTCTTTAAAATAAATGCACGTATCATTTTCTCGTCTCGTTAAACAGCTTTCTCGGTGATTATTTGTGACGCGGTGCCACGACAGACACTTGACAGAGAAAACACCAAAAGTAGCTGCCAAAACAACAATAATAATGATGATGCAAATCTTTTTCACCGACTCTCTTTCAACAACGAAAACAAACGTCTGCCCCGGGGACTCTGCCAACATTTGGAAACAGCGAATGTAACGGCGACGACGTGTACTCGCAGACTCGAGGAGTTTCTGATCAATCTACGAAGATCGACGACAGGGCCTAAAGTTTGTGCCGAAATAGAAACGGTGACACCGAACTGACGAATGTCGCCGGTGGTGAGAGCCCATGACCTGCGGCCAGACCCGCGAGACTTTCCCGACTGCAGACGTCGGCTCGCGTGCCGGGGGGCTGCCGGGTTGCGTGGTTACTTTGCACGACCGCGAGTGGCAGCGGTGGCGATCGTCCGGCGGTGGACCGACCACGGCCGATGCCGACGATGATGACATTCAACGAGAGTTAACGATGCTCAAAACGTCGTGAGGGAGACCTGGGAGCGAGGTGACTGTAGATCTTACGAATTGCATTGTGGGGGTGGATTTTTGACATCCGAGTCGACGGGGGGGGCGGCCGTAACGTGGCACTCGCCGAGGTGCTACGGAAGAAACGAGGCGGCCGAGCAATGCTCGTCGTCAGGACTTGGCGCGCCATAAACAATCGTCGCGGCAATTCACACTGCGGCACAAACTTTCATTCTGCCCTCACGGAACCCTCGTCGACCAGAGTTCCCTCAACAACAAACAACAACAAAACACTAAACGTGTAAAATTGTCAGAAATCTCCCCGTCCCTTTCAAATGTACTTTTATGACAAATCCTTTATTTCCCAAGACCAACCCCGACCCCCCCCCCCCCCCCCCCAACAAAAGACAAATGCCTCTAGGCTACCGGCTCGCACGAGCCGTCTACCAAAAACAAACAAATCTACAGTGCGGTGCGGCGCGGCCGGCGAGCAACGGCGGTGGTAGCGGCGGCGGCGGCGGCGGCTAGCTGTAAACCGCCATGACGTTCACAAAGTGCTCCGCCCCGCGCAGGTGCACCGGCCTCTGCTGGTGCGACGCGGACCCCGCCGACGCCGCCGCCGCCGCCGCCGCCGCCGCCACCTCCTCCTTGCACTTGGTGGGCGGGTGACCGCCGCGGGCCGCCTGCCGCGTAGAAGCCGCCACTCCCGCTCCGGAGCTGCCGCCGACACCGCCGCCGCCCGCGCCGGCCGCCCGCGTCGAGCCGGCCGATTTTGCCGACGCCGCGCACCGAGCCTGCGTGCCGGGCACGCCCTTCGCCCCGCGAGCCTTCGTCGGGCCCTTGTACGGCGGCGCCGACGTCCCTTCCGACGGGGCGCCGGCGGTCGTGGCGGCGCGGCCGTCGTAGAGGACGCAGATGGAGCCGTCCTCGCCGATGCGGTAGGAGACCTCGTAGGGGTCGACCCAGAGCGTGAGCTCCCGCGGCAGCAGCCGGAAGAGGCTGGGGGCGCTCAGGCCGATGGAGAGCGCCGCGCGGCTCACCAGCGGGTCCATCTTGTGGTTGATGCGGATGCAGCGGTAGGCCGAGCCCTTGCACGGCCGCTCGGGGAACCAGTGCTGCTGGTAGTGCTCTGAAAGGGGAGGGTGCACACATCGCCACGGACGCTTGGACAGGGATCGCACAAGTCCACGGAGCCCCTCCGGTTGTGTGTCTCGTTGTGGTCCTGTCGGTCTACGTGTCTATAACTGTGCAGGACACTGCCTGTATCAACCATTATCCTGCAGAGCGCCGTTCGGGAAAAGGTCACCTTAAGGCGTTTTACAGAAGTTAATTCATGAAAAAGAAACTGCAAATAGATGTATTTGTTTGTCTATCTTAATGCATGGCTGTCCCAGATTTTAAGATTCAAAATAAATATATGAACATGTGGACGAGATACAAAATATCGGACAATCTGAAGCAGCCCATTAGTTTTGTATTATTCTGAAGGTGTGCGACACCACAGGAGATGACATTACGTACTGTCATTTCCACGCTGTTCACGGACATGGATAAACCTGAAACTCATCCCCATTCTAGAGATGTGTGTAAAGGTCAGATAGGTGAACACTGATAGAACATAATAGTAATAATTACACCGTGATCAAAATCGGTCACGCATGTGGAAAAACGCTCAAGTGTGCTGGACAAGTGGGCAAATGTACGCTGGCCAGTTGAACAACACAGGCCCATCCAAGCTTCCAAGTTCATTCTGTTGCGACCGTGCGGTGAGAACTCAAAAGAGGCCAGGATGCGAAGTGTCACTTTGAAAGAAGTGACTCAGGTCAACCAAGATGACAAAAAGCAAAACCAAAAATAAAGATCAGAAATTAAGCAATCAGAAAATCAGAAATAACACATTCCTGCGGAGGGAGCTGGTAGGAATGTTGGGTTGCTCGGTCAATGGCCAAGGTCAACGACACCACGTGGTGCATTCCGCAAATATGCCCGACTGTGAGGGCGGGCACAAGCCGGCGTGAGTAGGTTAAACGTTGAGTTTTATAAGGGCACCACGGGGTGACCAGCCCCTCCCCACCCAGCCCCACCCTCCCCACCCAGCCCCACCCTCCCCACCCAGCCCCACCCTCCCCACCCAGCCCCACCCTCCCCACCCAGCCCCACCCTCCCCACCCAGCCCCACCCTCCCCACCCAGCCCCACCCTCCCCACCCAGCCCCACCCTCCCCACCCAGCCCCACCCTCCCCACCCAGCCCCACCCTCCCCACCCAGCCCCACCCTCCCCACCCAGCCCCACCCTCCCCACCCAGCCCCACCCTCCCCACCCAGCCCCACCCTCCCCACCCAGCCCCACCCTCCCCACCCAGCCTCTCCCCACCCTCCCCACCCAGCCCCTTCCCACCCTCCCCACCCAGCCCCTTCCCACCCTCCCCACCCAGCCCCTTCCCACCCTCCCCACCCTCCCCTCCCCACCCTCCCCTCCCCACCCTCCCCTCCCCACCCAGCCCCACCCCACCCAGCCCCACCCCTCCCATTTTATCCGGGTGACCGGATACACGTGGACAGACATCCACAGACATACACAATTAATCCCCTGCCTCCTGTGAATTAATCCCGGTTGGGCTTCCAGTCCACTACGTTTCCTACCAGTAAAAAAAAACTATCACAGGAGCAATCTACAACACTGCAAACATAAATCAATGCTATGTAAAAGCTAAATGTAAAAATTCCCTGCAGCGCAAGTCGGCTTGGCCAGATTATTTTTAGACCGGTCACAGAAGGTTAAGTTACAAAAACATTAAACATTCAACAGATATAGGGTGATTCCAGTGCTAACATGTAAACAGACAAAGATATGTGTCAAACAACCGCAGTCGTGACCAAGTTGGGCCTGGGAACATCAAATGGCGGTTGCGCCGTTCCATCCACATGCACTGGACTGGGTGTGGGCGGGTAATCGGTCAGGGCGGATATGACACAGTTGGATATGCGACGTTCTTCTGTACTGCCAAATGTTGTCTTCCGTGGAATTTTTGGGCCAAAAGTTGTTCACCAAGGCCCGGGCACAACGCCAAGCCGCCACCGCCGCCACCACCACCGCAGCTGCCATGGTGCATGCAGGCTGTTTTGGCACCGTGTCAATCTCACCTGACATCTGCTCATTATTATTATTATTATTACTCTTGCACGTTTTTACAACGGAAAGCCCCGCTAAGTCTCTGTCTCTCTTTCTAGGAGGGTCCTGCCAAGGTTTCATGTCAGGGGGCGATGATTGCTGCTGTGTTTTGCAGAGATGTGGGTTCGATCCCGACCCTGATGCCTGCGTATTACGAGTTTGCATGTTCTCCCCGTGGTCGTGTGGACTTTTCTTCACATGTAGAATCAAACATGCGTTTTAGACGATTTGGCTGCTATAAATTTCCACGTGATAAGCCAATTCGTTGAGCTATCATTTGTGATGGCCAGGTCGCTTCTGAAAAAGAGCTATGTAGCTCATTGAGCCTTACCTGGTAAAATAAAATAAAAAGTTTACAAAGGATTCTGTAACCAATTGAGACAGCCGTTTTAATTGCATGAACAACACAACTCACATTTTCCACAACGATACTAATGATTATGCCGTGTTGCACAGCTTTGTATCACCAACTAGGACCCATATCAAACAGAGGGTCCTCGCCGATAAACATCTGTTCACCAGCATTAGTTCAAGCGGGCCTGACTACTGATGAGACACTGAATGTCAAAGCCGATTGAGAATTTGCACGTGTTGAACCTGTGCGTCTGAAATGATGCACCCCTATGTTATTAATTACTTATTCATTACAATATTTCACCTGCAGCCTCCCTTGAGATGGAACACCCCATATGCACGTGCCGATGGACACGTGCGTAACACACAGGCAACGGCACCACGTGAACACGCATTGCAAACCTCTACGACGCTGATGTGAATAATTATCACTCATGAAAGCGAGAGAGCACGGTGAGGTGTAGTGTCACGCTATCTATTCAATACCACCGAGATTCATGAGGTCAGAAACCCGGTGAACCAGTTCACTTTATTCCTTCATCAGGGTCAAGTTGACGTTGTGTAAACCAGGTAACAACACGAGAGGCCAGGACGAGTCGTCACCTGCCTCTAGGTGTACCTAACCACCTGCCCGGTTTTCACACACAGACAGTCTGCATCTGCGTACGGGCGGCAGGGATTGAATTTGGCCTGGATCTGTTAACGGTATTGCTGTGTTGAAACTCTACGAGAGTGATTAGGCCTCGGCGGACTTGGGAAATATGTCCGGGTTTGGTCTGTCATCTTACATATAGAGAGGACTGCAGAGCTTTGGAAAATGTTGGCGCCGGCACACCGCCACGCTGCTGCCTCTCGGCTCGTCTGTGGGATGTTCGGCGGTTGCGCGATGCAAGTTCGCACGAACGAGGACGCTGCCGTTTTATAAAAAATACAAATAAAAACCGCGCCACGCGGCGGCATTAACAAGGTGGCGACCCAGGGTGGGTCACCAGCGTGACCTCAAGCAATCAACTAAAAGCAGCGTGCACCAATGGAGTGAGCATAAATCGCGTCAGAAGCAACTGCGTTACAGCGAGAAATAAAATAAAAATACCGGCCACGAGCATAAATCAGAGCTGAAGAAAATACATTTCCTGTAACACGTGTTGGACTAATTGCCCTTAGAACTTAGAGCGTTCAAAGTGCGACGAGTTTATGGACGTAGAATGTGTGTACACGTGTCAGTGCGTGTTTTGCTATGTGTCCATCAGCACCCCTAACAAGGGGTCACATCGAGGGAATTCCCGGTGAGATATTGCAAAAAACAAAACGGGTTACAGGCGCGTGGGGCATGAAGGGAAAATCGACCAGGAGAGCCAAAGAGCCGTCCCACTGAGCTGCACCAGGTGTTCTGCACGACGCACCTGGGTGACCCCACTCATCACGCTGACATTTACTGCTTGGTTACAGTGAGCGTGGAGGCTGTGCGTGCCTGTAATGATCCAGCACTGTGGAGGCAAGGGTTGGTGCACCAAGCAGAGTTGCGTGAAAACTCCCAAACTCGCCGAGCTCTGGGGTTGTGGCCGAGAGATGGGCGGCACAAGGAGCCGACTCGTCAATCCCTGCGTGTGGATCAATGTTATCCCCTCACATGCGTGGAGGGTTTTCCCTGGCTTCTGCGGTGTAAATACTCGACTCGAAGCAGGCGGCCAAATATGGTTACGCGGGACGCTACTGAAAAAAGTACTTGAGATGCATATTCTTAGCTCTTTCGGTAAAGTCACGTTGAAGGGAAACAATAAAATAATAAAATATATATTAAACAATACAAATTCTCACGACGTTTCGACCATAACACAAACGGTCGTCATCAAGTGTGTCGGTTTGCATACATTTATTTATTTTTAAACGGTGTATTTATTTATTTATAAGAGATGCCGCGACTCTGGGGTAATACCAATCGCATTTACACTGACCTCTGCTGCTGTAACTTCTTCTAATGCGAAACGAATTCTTTTCAAAACTAGCTTAGCTCTTATCTCAGAAAAAATCAGACTTATACGCACCGAACTAGATCAGTTAGACAAAGACACTCTACAAGTCACACTTATCATTGACGGCAACAATGTCCACATCGGATTGGGAACATGTAGACAATATGACTGCCTCTTCAGCTGCTACTATGTCGACCAAATGTAAGGACAACCTGATTTCCAAATTTAACCTCCTCTTCAACAAAAGACCGGACCCACACACCAAGAAGTTAGACGTTAACAAAGTCGTAATTAATCGCAGTAACAGTTCTATTTCCGATGGTCTGAAATCCGTTTTAGCTAAAGGTCTAAACTTTGCAGTCACACCTAAACACATACCAGTTAATGATATAATTGCCCAAGTAGACGTTGCTCTCAGGGGCCTGGGTCACATCGCTGCAGACGTAGCAAGATCTGAAATCGCTGCAACCCTCAAAAACGCTAAGATGCCAGCTAGCAACCTCAGCAAAGATGAGCGTTTTGAATTATATAAATTAAAAAAGAGGGATGATATTGTAGTCCTCTCAGCTGACAAGGTCAATGCTACTGTCATAAATAAAATAGAATACAACAACATTAAAGAATTACTCGACAATGGTAGTTATACAAAAATAAAAAGAGATCCCACCAACAGCCTCGTCACACAAACCAACAAAATAATTTCTGATTCAACCGCATTAATTGATCAATCTAAACAGTTTTCGTTTAAACCTTCTGCTGCCAGGCCACCAAGATTATACGGCTTACCAAAAATACATAAAGTAGATACACCCCTTCGTCCCATCGTCTCTACTATCAACTCCCCCACCTACGAACTGGCTCGTTTTTTGTCTGAAATCCTGCGTCCTTTCACTGGAAAAACCACCTCTGCGGTACAAAATTCTACTCACCTGGTATCGACAATCAAGGGTATTTCCCTGTCCCCAGACAACCTGCTTGTCAGTTTTGATGTAGTTTCCTTATTCACCAAGGTTCCTGTACCTGACACCATCGCAATCATTGAAGACTTGGTTCATCAAGGACTAAACACTGAGGTACCCCCCCTGGTGAGACGCTGTTTAACCAATACATACTTCACTTGGAATGGAACTTTCTACAAACAAACCGAGGGCACCCCAATGGGCTCCCCCCTATCTCCGGTTATAGCTAACATTTTCATGGAGAAATTTGAGACTGACGCCATCCAGACTGCCACTCTGCGCCCAACCTTATGGAAGAGATACGTGGATGACACTTTTGTCATCTAGCCACATGGCCGGCCTGCTCTAGACCAATTCTTCGACCACATCAATTCCATACACCCAGCCATCAGATTTACCATGGAAGTCGAAAAAGATGGCAAGCTACCTTTTTTGGATGTCCTAATTAAAAAGAGACCTGATGGTTCAATGAGCCACTCTGTCTACAGGAAAGCTACCCATACGGATGCTTATCTGAAACCAGATTCCCACCACCATCCATCACAGAAGAATTCTCTCATCAAGACTCTGTATCATAGAGCCCAATGCATATCCGACCAGGAACACATAGCCAGTGAACTCAAGCACGTACACCAAGCTCTTAAGGCTAATGGTTACTCCGACTATACAATCCGCAAAGCTATCACTCAAACCATGAAGAAGAACCCTCTTGAGGAGCCTTTCAAAACCATCACTTTACCCTACATTGCTGGGATCACAAAAAGATCTCCAAAATCTTGAATAAACACAAGATCCAGGTCCATTTCAACACATTACATAAAATCCGTGATCTGGTTCCGTCTGTAAAAGATGTGATTCCGGACATACAGTACCCTGGTGTCTACAAACTAAGTTGCCTCTGTGGTAGTAGTTACATTGGAGAAACCAAACGCCATGTCTCGGACCGCATTCGTGAACACAAAGCAAACCTTAAACACGGTAGGACCAACACCTCGGCCGTGGCAGATCATTGTTATAATTCAGTAGGCTCACATGACATTGACTTTTCCAAGACAGAGGTTCTTTGTAAGCCATCTGGCTACCATGAGAGATTCGTTCATGAGGCTATCCACATATACAAGCACAGAGACAATTTCAACCGAGAAGATGGATTCTGGCTTAGCAATTATTGGAAAGATTTGATAAACCATTTCAGGTCTTAATTGATTGTTCACGCTTACAGTGGCTTTCAGACAGCATACATTAATTTTTCGTCTCCCCCCTCCTCTTTTCAGAATATAGATGGACTAGTCCTTCTAAATAAACTGCCAAATCACTGCGCGTGGCGCTGACGGTTTTTATAAATAAATAAATACGCCGTTTAAAAATAAATACATTTATGCAAACTGACACACCTGATGACGACCGTTTGTGTTATGGTCGAAACGTCGTGAGAATTTTTATTGTTTTATATATATTTCATTATTTTATTGTTTCCCTTCAACGTGACTTTACCGAAAGAGCTAAGAATATGAATTACTGCAGTCACGAAAGCTTTAAATCAAAATTCATTTGAGATGCGGCGAGGCCTTCGTGGATAAATAAACTACGGTCGAGTCTCACGAGGGATGAGGGCCCGTGGCGGAGGTGAACGACGGAGCTACAACCGGAGGAGTGAACGCGCCTGAGGGCACCTCAAACACGGAGATGGAGTGATTAAATTAGTTCACGCATAAGTACTACTCGACGGATTGCTGCATCGTGGGACTGTAAGATATAGCGAGCCCTGCAGCAGTGGATAGGCCTTGCCTGATGATGATATTCGTGGTATCAGTCAATGTCTCAAATGTCTGACTCATGCTATGATGCCAAAATCTGGGTTTTTATTCTGCAGGACCACTGGATTGTGGTGGACACGAACAAGTGGTGTTGTCCACCCTTCCTCCCACTCGCCCATCTATCATCCTTTCCTTGTCCACCCTCCTAGGCATTCTTCTCCAGTCCCATCCCTCTACACAATCGGTATCACCAACCCCACCTGCACAGCCCATACCACCTGTACTATAACACTGCCTGCAACACCAACACTACCAATACAACCCACACCACTCACACCGCCCACACTACCCACACCCCCAGAGCGTACGTACCTGCCAGCAGCGACTCCAGTGATGTAATGAAGGTCGCAACCTGTGAGTGGGAGCAGCCAGCTGACCTGAGCAAACCCGCGATGAACTCCACCGCACTGCCAATCTCGGACTTCATCTGCACACGCGGGCACGTACACAACACGCTTGTCAACACACAGACACGTATACTCATGTCGATCACAGGCACGTATACGCACTCATGTCGAACACAGGCACGTATACGCACTCATGTCGAACACAGGCACGTATACGCACTCATGTGAACATGCACTCGTGTAGTGAAGAGGTTAGCACATTGCACGACAAACCCGGCGACCTGAGATTCATTCCCATTCATGTTGCTACCGAGTAGCTATTAAGGCCACCACAGCGCACAAGAGGTGGTGTGGCCAGAACCGCGCCCGGCCGCTTTTGTCTCCCCAGCGGCGATGTTTATACACTACAGCCCGAGTCGACCTAGGGGAGTCCCAGAACCGGCTCAGATAATCGTCACTGGTGTTGGCCGTGAGTGGGAATCGAACTCGGGTCGCCGGGTTCGCAGCGCAGCCTGCTGTACTGCTACAATGTGCACGCGCACGCCGATACACAAAGACACATTCATACACAAATACGCCACTGTACCGACACACAAAGACCCCTACCAGCTGCCAGTGCCCGCAGCCATAGGTCAAGTGCTGTTGGGGAGGGGGTGAAGCCGGGGGGGGCAGGGCTGTCTCTCTCTTCTGAGATGGGTGGGTGGTGGGCCTAAGCGTGGGTACCTTCACGTCCCCTCCTCCTCCTCCCCACACACCCCCCTCCCTTTTCTTTGTGCGAGTGCAGTCACATATTTGCAAAGATATAATAAAGACAGCTGACTAGGGGCACTTAAAGAGGTGCATTGCAGAACTATTGTCCTGCACTATAGACCGGTGGTGGTGATAACACCACCATACAACACCACACACCACAATAAATACACAACACCACCACATTCCACAACATTACACCAGAGCACCACCACCACACATTACTACACACCATAACACAACCCCAGAACACCACCACACACAATCACACCACAACTCCACAATAAATACAGCATAACACCACTACATACCTCAACATTACACCATAGCACCACCACGCAACACCAACACACACAATTACACCAACGCACCCCATAAAACCACAACACGCAATGACACCATCACACATCACAACCCCAATACGTACGACACCACCACAAAACATAACACGACCACACCACGCAACACAACATAATTCAATGACATACAATAACACCACTGTACACCATTACACCACTATAAAACCATAACACGGCAATTTGCTTAAGCAAACCTAGACTCTGCTGATTAGACATTGAATGTCGAACCGGTTCAGTTTGCTCGTGTTTAACAAATGCTGAAATGATGCCCTTCCAAAATGCCGTGATTGATGGGATGTGTAAAAAATATATATTCTTACGTGGAGGGGCAGATATGTGAAGGAGACGGAGTTTGCTGATTTATGGTCTTCCTCAAATGCTCCACGAAGCGACTGATTATTTTGTGTTATGCATTTCATAGACCAAGTCGCTGCTATAGACCATGACATGACAATCGACTGTCACATCTGCAGATCATGTCAATGCTATAGACCATGACACTGTAATAGACCTTAACACTACTAGAGACCATGACACTGCTGTAGACCATGTGACTACTGTAGACCATAACACTACTAGAGACCATGACACTGTTATAGACCTTAATAACACTACTAGAGACCATGTCACTGTTATAGACCTTAACACTACTAGAGACCATGACACTGTAATAGACCTTAACACTACTAGAGACCATGACACTGTTATAGAACTTAACACTACTAGAGACCATGACACTGCTGTAGACCTTAACACTACCAGAGACCATGACACTATTATAGACCATGTCACTGTTATAGACCTTAACACTACTAGAGACCATGACACTGTTATAGACCTTAACACTACTAGAGACCATGACACTGTTATAGACCATAACACTGCTATAGACCATGTCACTGTTATAGACCTTAACACTACTAGAGACCATGACACTGTTATAGACCATAACACTACTAGAGACCATGTCACTGTTATAGACCTTAACACTACTAGAGACCATGTCACTGTTATAGACCTTAACACTACTAGAGACCATGTCACTGTTATAGACCTTAACACTACTAGAGACCATATCACTGTTATAGACCTTAACACTACTATAGACCATGACACTGCTATAGACCTTAACACTACTAGAGACCATGACACTTATAGACCTTAACACTACTAGAGATCATGACACTGTTATAGACCATAACACTACTAGAGACCATATCACTGTTATAGACCATAACACTGCTATAGACCATGTCACTGTTATAGACCTTAACACTACTAGAGACCATGACACTGATATAGACCATAACACTACTAGAGACCATGACACTGCTATAGACCTTAACACTGCTATAGACCATGTCACTGTTATAGACCTTAACACTACTAGAGATCATGACACTGTTATAGACCATAACACTACTAGAGACCATATCACTGTTATAGACCTTAACACTACTAGAGACCATGATACTGTTATAGACCTTAACACTGCTATAGACCATGTCACTGTTATAGACCATAACACTACTAGAGACCATGACACTGTTATAGACCTTAACACTACTAGAGACCATGTCACTGTTATAGACCATGACACTGTTATAGACCATAACACTACTACAGACCATGTCACTGTTATAGACCTTAACACTAATAGAGACCATGACACTGGTATAGACCATAACACTACTAGAGACCATGTCACTGTTATAGACCATAACACTACTAGAGACCATGTCACTGTTATAGACCATAACACTGCTATAGACCATAACACTGTTATAGACCTTAACACTGCTATAGACCATATCACTGTTATAGACCTTAACACTACTAGAGACCATGACACTGTTATAGACCTTAACACTGCTATAGACCATGTCACTGTTATAGACCTTAACACTACTAGAGACCATGTCACTGTTATAGACCTTAACACTACTAGAGACCATGTCACTGTTATAGACCTTAACACTACTAGAGACCATGACACTGTTATAGACCTTAACACTACTAGAGACCATGACACTGTTATAGACCTTAACACTGCTATAGACCATGTCACTGTTATAGACCTTAACACTACTAGAGACCATGACACTGTTATAGACCTTAACACTACTAGAGACCATGACACTGCTATAGACCTTAACACTGCTATAGACCATGTCACTGTTATAGACCTTAACACTACTAGAGACCATGTCACTGTTATAGACCTTAACACTACTAGAGACCATGACACTGTTATAGACCATGACACTGTTATAGACCATAACACTACTAGAGACCATGACACTGTTATAGACCTTAACACTACTAGAGACCATGTCACTGTTATAGACCATGACACTGTTACAGACCATAACACTACTAGAGACCATGTCACTGTTATAGACCATAACACTACTAGAGACCATGTCACTGTTATAGACCATAACACTACTAGAGACCATGTCACTGTTATAGACCTTAACACTACTAGAGACCATGACACTGTTATAGACCATAACACTACTAGAGACCATGTCACTGTTATAGACCATAACACTACTAGAGACCATGACACTGTTATAGACCTTAACACTACTAGAGACCATGACACTGTTATAGACCTTAACACTACTAGAGACCATGTCACTGTTATAGACCTTAACACTGCTATAGACCATGTCACTGTTATAGACCTTAACACTACTAGAGACCATGACACTGTTATAGACCATAACACTACTAGAGACCATGTCACTGTTATAGACCTTAACACTGCTATAGACCATGTCACTGTTATAGACCTTAACACTGCTATAGACCATGACACTGTTATAGACCATAACACTACTAGAGACCATGACACTGTTATAGACCATAACACTACTAGAGACCATGACACTGTTATAGACCATAACACTACTAGAGACCATGTCACTGTTATAGACCTTAACACTGCTATAGACCATGTCACTGTTATAGACCATAACACTGCTATAGACCATGTCACTGTTATAGACCATAACACTGCTATAGCCCATAACACTACTAGAGACCATGACACTGTTATAGACCTTAACACTGCTATAGACCATGTCACTGTTATAGACCATAACACTACTAGAGATCATGACACTGTTATAGACCTTAACACTGCTATAGACCATGACACTGTTATAGACCATAACACTACTAGAGACCATGTCACTGTTATAGACCTTAACACTACTAGAGACCATGACACTGTTATAGACCTTAACACTACTAGAGACCATGACACTGTTATAGACCTTAACACTGTTATAGACCATGTCACTGGTATAGACCATATCACTGTTATAGACCATGTCACTGGTATAGACCTTAACACTGTTATAGACCATAACACTACAGACCATGTCACTGTTATAGACCATAACACTGCTATAGACCATGTCACTGTTATAGACCATAACACTGCTATAGACCATAACACTACTAGAGACCATGTCACTGTTATAGACCTTAACACTACTAGAGACCATGACACTGTTATAGACCATAACACTACTAGAGACCATGTCACTGTTATAGACCATAACACTACTAGAGACCATGACACTGTTATAGACCTTAACACTACTAGAGACCATGACACTGTTATAGACCTTAACACTACTAGAGACCATGTCACTGTTATAGACCTTAACACTGCTATAGACCATGTCACTGTTATAGACCTTAACACTACTAGAGACCATGACACTGTTATAGACCATAACACTACTAGAGACCATGTCACTGTTATAGACCTTAACACTGCTATAGACCATGTCACTGTTATAGACCTTAACACTGCTATAGACCATGACACTGTTATAGACCATAACACTACTAGAGACCATGACACTGTTATAGACCATAACACTACTAGAGACCATGTCACTGTTATAGACCATAACACTGCTAGAGACCATGTCACTGTTATAGACCTTAAC